CCTGAACCCTCAGCATGGTGAAGCTCCATCTGTCAGTGATGCTGCTGACGTCAGCCTGTGTGTGTGTGTGTGTGTGTGTGTGTGTGTGTGTGTGTGTGTGTGTGTGTGTGTGTGTGTGTGTGTGTGTGTGTGTGTGTGTGTGTGTGTGTGTGTGTGTGTGTGTGTGTGTGTGTGTGTGTAATGTCTTCAGGAGGAATTTAGCCTCAGCTGAGCAGCTTTTCTAAATGTTTCCAGATGGAGGGAACGCCCCACCGATGTTTCCTGTGGCGCTCCGTCCCCTCCCTCTAATCCTCCGCCCGTCCAGCTGAGGCCTTTAACTGATGCTGTCATCAGCTGACTCACTGCAGGAGCAGCGGGGTGCAGCAGGAGAACATATACACCGTGTTTATATAGGAGAAACATAACCTAATCTTACTGTGCCGGCTGTAGGGAGTAAAACTCTAACACAGAGAAGACCTGTCTATGCTGCCCCAGAACGCCTCGTTGGACATTTCTCTTTCTCCATTGTTTGCTTCCTGGGTTCAGTGACGTGTGAACACCCAGATCAACAACAAATGACCGGATTGGCCCAAATGGACCAATCCTTGGAGCACCTCACACACCAGGGTCCCTTGGCTAACTAACAGGGAGTCCCATTGACTTGCATAGAGCTCCCTGGTTGGTAATAGACGAGTTGGGATGGTGGAGAAATGCTCTCTGCAGACCCATTCTCACAGCGTTAGAAACCTCTTACTCAATATCAAGCCACACTTATTGTTTTCACTTCGGCTGTGAGTGTTTGTGTGCTCAGGATGAGTTTAGCTTGTTCTCGCTGTATCGCCGACAGGGAAGCCTGTCCGCTCCTCGCAGCAGCGAGTCTCGTAACGTCCCGACCAATCAGAGCACACTGGGCTCACAGGGAGGGGGGGGGGGCAGGAGCTCCAACAAGGCGTGTAGGACAGAGAGTGAATACACATACTATACAGAGATGCTGTTTGAGAAACCAATGTGAGTTTGGAACATTGAACAATATACATCTATTCTAGTAGACCTCAACAATGGAACTATGATCAGTAGAAATGGCCGTGACATGGGACCTTTAAATACGGCCGCTCTGAGGCTAAACTTTGCTCATTGTTGTGACGCGTGTAAATAATGAAGTCTGTACTGAACTCGACGTTTTAAGGATATTTAATATTGTAAATCAAAACAGTAAACAGAATCATACGGTCAACAAAAGATATCAGCGCTAAGCTCACCCCCGTTGTCATGCTACCAAACCTCCACACACACCAGGTGCCCTAAATCCCATGAACCACACCATGTGACCAGAAACAACCCATTGTGTGAGAGGTGTTAACACATAATGAGGATAATGTAAAAGCAGGCTCCTCCACGGGCTGCTGCCTCTAAACCCCTGCATGATTCTCTGGGTTCATCCAGCCACTAAATGGACCTGACAAAGCTAAAGGAGTGAAGGATAGTTTGTTAACATTCAACAGAACTTGTTTTTGAGTTCTAGTTTCTATATTATTTATCATAGATTTTAAGTTTTTCGGACTGGAAAACAAATTCTAAATCCAACAGTATCATCCCTTGTCATGCAACACGGGGTAAAACTATTCTGAATGTAACTCCAAACACACTTGCTTTCTGAATTATGAGGTTTTTATATCTGGTAAAATAACTATTATTGAAGAAGATGTAAATAAACCTATTAATACATGTTAAAGCCAAGTTTAAAGAGGCCCTATTCTGCTTTTGGGGGTTTTCCCTCTCCTGTAGTGTTATAAAAGTTGTTGTGCATGTAAATGGTCTGCAAAGGCTAAAAACCCAGTGCTCCAACCATAGGCAAAGGGGCGGGACATCTCTAAGAGGTTGACCAATCACAACAGAGCCGGCCAGCTAACCAATCAGAGCAGACTGAGCTCTGGTTTCAGACAGAGGGTGAAAAGAGGTGCTGCAGCACAGAGAAAAATAAAGAGTTTTTTGAACATTAAAGCATGGAGACATGTAGAGACACTACATACTGATATACACCTGAACATCAGCAGGAGAGGACTCTTTAAAGTAGAGACACTACATACTGATATACACCTGAACATCAGCAGGAGAGGACTCTTTAAAGTAGAGACTACATACTGATATACACCTGAACATCAGCAGGAGAGGACTCTTTAAAGTAGAGACTACATACTGATATACACCTGAACATCAGCATGAGGGGACTCTTTAAAGTAGAGACACTACATACTGATATACACCTGAACATCAGCAGGAGAGGACTCTTTAAAGTAGAGACACTACATACTGATATACACCTGAACATCAGCAGGAGAGGACTCTTTAAAGTAGAGACTACATACTGATATACACCTGAACATCAGCATGAGGGGACTCTTTAAAGTAGAGACACTACATACTGATATACACCTGAACATCAGCAGGAGAGGACTCTTTAAAGTAGAGACACTACATACCGATATACACCTGAACATCAGCAGGAGAGGACTCTTTAAAGTAGAGACACTACATACTGATATACACCTGAACATCAGCAGGAGAGGACTCTTTAAAGTAGAGACACTACATACTGATATACACCTGAACATCAGCAGGAGAGGACTCTTTAAAGTAGAGACACTACATACTGATATACACCTGCACATCAGCAGGAGAGGACTCTTTAAAGTAGAGACACTACATACTGATATACACCTGAACATCAGCAGGAGAGGACTCTTTAAAGTAGAGACTCTACATACTGATATACACCTGAACACCAGCAGGAGAGGACTCTTTAAAGTAGAGACACTACATACTGATATACACCTGAACATCAGCAGGAGAGGACTCTTTAAAGTAGAGACTCTACATACTGATATACACCTGAACACCAGCAGGAGAGGACTCTTTAAAGTAGAGACTCTACATACTGATATACACCTGAACATCAGCAGGAGAGGACTCTTTAAAGTAGAGACACTACATACTGATATACACCTGAACATCAGCAGGAGAGGACTCTTTAAAGAAGAGACACTACATACTGATATACACCTGAACATCAGCAGGAGAGGACTCTTTAAAGTAGAGACACTACATACTGATATACAACTGAACATCAGCAGGAGAGGACTCTTTAAAGAAGAGACACTACATACTGATATACACCTGAACATCAGCAGGAGAGGACTCTTTAAAGTAGAGACACTACATACTGATATACACTGAACATCAGCAGGAGAGGACTCTTTAAAGTAGAGACACTACATACTGATATACACCTGAACATCAGCAGGAGAGGACTCTTTTAAGTAGAGACACTACATACTGATATACACCTGAACATCAGCAGGAGAGGACTCTTACAGTAGAAGACTCTACATACTGATATACACCTGAACATCAGCAGGAGAGGACTCTTTAAAGTAGAGACACTACATACTGATATACACCTGAACATCAGCAGGAGAGGACTCTTAAAGTAGAGACACTACATACTGATATACACCTGAACATCAGCAGGAGAGGACTCTTTAAAGTAGAGACTCTACATACTGATATACACCTGAACATCAGCAGGAGAGGACTCTTTAAAGTAGAGACACTACATACTGATATACACCTGACCATCAGCAGGAGAGGACTCTTTAAAGTAGAGACACTAACATACTGATATACACCTGAACATCAGCAGGAGAGGACTCTTTAAAGTAGAGACACTCACATACTGATATACACCTGGACATCAGGAGGAGAGGACTCTTAAAGTAGAGACTCTACATACTGATATACACCTGAACATCAGCAGGAGAGGACTCTTTAAAGTAGAGACACTACATATGATATACACCTGAACATCAGCAGGAGAGGACTCTTTAAAGTAGAGACACTACATACTGATATACACCTGAACATCAGCAGGAGAGGACTCTTTAAAGTAGAGACACTACATACTGATATACACCTGAACATCAGCAGGAGAGGACTCTTTAAAGTAGAGACACTACATACTGATATACACCTGGACATCAGCAGGAGAGGACTCTTTAAAGTAGAGACACTACATACTGATATACACCTGGACATCAGGAGGAGAGGACTACTACTTCCTCGGTTACCACAGAGCTGTAATTCTCAGGATGAAAACAGCATTTAGAAACAGTGAATGTTGTGGGTCAGTTTCTCTGGTTTCAGATCTGCATTTCTTGAAGCTGTGTGGTTAAAGAGCAGCAGCTGTGATTCATCAGTGGAAACAGGCTGTGAAACGAAATGGGAAGTGAGAGGAAAGAGTGATGAAGAATTTCACAAGTAATGTTTGGTTTCATCGAAAAACCCACTTCATCGAGTCAGGGTTGTCCTGAGGAAAGGTCGTTAAAAATATAAAACGGTATATCCTCTGGAGAGCAGGAACAAGGTCATGACAATTAAGGAAATGTGCTTGATGACTTTTTATTTCTTCAATCAATTGCAGCTACTACCCTGCTATACTTTATGGGATTGTGTGGTCTTTCACTGCTGCCTACTTTACATTTTCTACTGTCATTTTCTACTTTTAAGTACGAGTACATTTGTACCGTGACTGCATATATTGTGTGTCAAACAAATATATAATTATAGTTAATACACCAAGCAGGTTTCTGGACTGGCATACAATATGAGGAAGTGAAAGAATCTCAAGGACGTTTGTGACACACACACAACACACACACACACACACACACACACACACACACACACACACACACACACACACACACACACACACACACCACACACACACACCCACACACACACACAGCACCACAACACACACACACACACACACCACAAACACACACCACCACACACAACACACACACACACACACACACACACACACAACACACACACACACACACACACACACACACACACACACACACACACACACACACACACACACACACACACACACACACACACACACACACCACACACACACACACACACACACACACACACACACACACCATTACCTCTGCTGATGCGTTGTTTCTCTCCAGACAGGATGCCAGGAGTGTCGATGATGCTGATGCTCTGGAGAACCTGATTGGGCATCTGAGAGCAGATAAACCTAAACACACACACACACACACAATGAATATTTATTTATCAATACAGCAATATCATAACTATTTATGAATGAGTCAATCTTTACTTTGAGAATCTCCTAACAACATCAATCAAGAGTAAAAACACATGAATGGAAATCCTCATTAGTTTCCAGCCTTGTTTCTCAAATGGATCTGAAGGGTTGTGAAGTTTGACCCAAGAGATCATCATAAACAATAATCGATATAATCTTCGTTAACGTTATCACTTCCTCTGGAAACACTACCTGAAAACCATAACAAGGTGCACCAACTTTAAAGAAGGGCAGAAGAAGAATGTCCAATTAACCCTGTTTTTACATTTGTTAATTAGTCAAATACATCTTTTCTGTGAGAGATGGAAAAGTCTTCTCATCACACTGTTGCATCTTTTCTGTATCTCTTGCATGAAGTATATATATATATATATTTTTTTTTATATTATAATCTTAGCGTCTGAGTCCATTAGTCGTGACGTCACGTTGTGTTTAGTTTCGTCACGGATCAGCGCTCTCTGATTGATTTATTATTCATGTCTCCGCTCGCTCCATTGTTTCAGGCAGGAAGGATCGGGGTTGTTCTTCAGACGTGAAGCTCAGCGTGTGTTGAGTAATAAACCGAGTGATCACAGTGTGTGTGTGTGTGTGTGTGTGTGTGTGTGTGTGTGTGTGTGTGTGTGTGTGTGTGTGTGTGAACAGCGTGAGTGCATCTGGAGGATTTATTGCCTGGTTGTGGTGCTTCATGAGAAGTTTGGAGGTCATCAAATATTCATGTAATAAACCATTGTTGCAATATAATATATTATATATATTATTATTAACCTGGTGATTTTTGAAAAACATTATTTTTGATTCTTTAAATATAAATAAAATAGAATCGAAGTTATATTAGAACCCCTTACGGTGCATTTACACTTATTAAAAAATACCTTTAAAAAACATATACGATAAATACAAATAAGAATATTCAAAAAGTATTATTAAGTATATTAATGCATGTATTGGCATTTAAAGAACAACAAATAATTTTAAATACATATTTGATGTGACCTTATCTAAACAGAGAGGGAGGTTTTGCATTGAGAAATTAAATGAAAATATTTAAAAGTTTTGAATCGAAAAATAAAAAAATATCTTGATGTACCCACTGTGTGTGTGTGTGTGTGTGTGTGTGTGTGTGTGTGTGTGTGCGTGTGTGTGTGTGAGACCTCTCTGTCACCTCTTCAATATTTTTAAGTTTTAAAGTTAAATTTAGGCCGAAGACCTGAGCAGCGGAACAAACAGAGCGGCCGCCGCCAACACGTGGTGACGCACACACACTTCCCCCTGGAACAATAAGTTATTGTGGTTCCTCCATCTCACCGGGACAAGGTGGGATTCCTAGTTTAGGAATGCTTTAACTGGGAAACACACACACACATTTTTGAGGGTTGACGGTCCACTTCCTGCTGCCACTCTAAGAAATATTTCTGGACAGAGGAAATAGGTTTGGACCGGAGAGTTTTAGCTAAATATAAAACCTCGCTATGAACTTCAAGAGAGTGTGTGTGGTGTGTGTGTGTGTGTGTGTGTATGTGTGTGTGTGTGTGTGTGTACATGTCAGTTAGGAGTGGAGAGGTCATTTCCAGGGTGGTGAATGTTTTTGAGGAAAGCAGTGACAGGAGTGTGAAAGGCTGCCAGAATCTAAAAGTGTGTGTGTGTTGGTGTGTGTGTGGTGTGTGTGTGTGTGTGTGTGTGTGTGTGTGTGTGTGTGTGTGTGTGGAGAGACATCGGTCTAAAAAGAGATTCAGGACGTTTTTTAAAGATCAACAAAGAAGGATGTCAAAAAAACTGTCCGAGACCTAAAGATTACTTGTTTTATGATAATTCTACGGATTTAGTTTAGCATTTTGATTTCCCAGAGAGCATGGGGGTTATCTCCAATTGTTGTTTGGTTTGAGAAACTGTTAAAAAAAAACCAAAAAAGGTATTCAGGGGTTTATTGTCACATTAGCTGAAGAACATCAGAGCGTCTTCACATATTAGAAGTCCTTTCCACCTGCGTTTACCTGTTGAGGAAGGAGTTTCCGAACGCGTTGAGCTTCCTGAAGGGTTTGTTGGGGTCGACCACAAGAGCGTTGCCGGGGACGACGCCCTCGTTCTCACCGTACATCACGGCGATGAAGCCGTCGGTGGTCGGCTCCGGACCGATCCGCATCCCGGGGAAATCCTGCTCCAACAGATACCTGGATGGAGAGAGAGAGAGAGAGAAGAGAGAGAGAGGAGAGAGAGAGGAGAGAGAGAGAGAGAGAGGAGAGAGAGGAGAGAGAGAGAGAGAGAGAGAGAGAGAGAGAGAGAGAGAGAGAGGGTGAGATAGGAGAGGACTCTTTAAAGTAGAGACACTACATACTGATATACACCTGAACATCAGCAGGAGAGGACTCTTTAAAGTAGAGACACTACATACTGATATACACCTGAAACATCAGCAGGAGAGGACTCTTTAAAGTAGAGACACTACATACTGATATACACCTGAACATCAGCAGGAGAGGACTCTTTAAAGTAGAGACACTACATACTGATATACACCTGAACATCAGCAGGAGAGGACTCTTTAAAGTAGAGACACTACATACTGATATACACCTGAAACATCAGCAGGAGAGGACTCTTTAAAGTAGAGACACTACATACTGATATACACCTGAACATCAGCAGGAGAGGACTCTTTAAAGTAGAGACACTACATACTGATATACACCTGAACATCAGCAGGAGAGGACTCTTTAAAGTAGAGACACTACATACTGATATACACCTGAACATCAGCAGGAGAGGACTCTTTAAAGTAGAGACACTACATACTGATATACACCTGAACATCAGCAGGAGAGGACTCTTTAAAGTAGAGACACTACATACTGATATACACCTGAACATCAGCAGGAGAGGACTCTTTAAAGTAGAGACACTACATACTGATATACACCTGAACATCAGCATGAGGGGACTCTTTAAAGTAGAGACACTACATACTGATATACACCTGAACATCAGCAGGAGAGGACTCTTTAAAGTAGAGACACTACATACTGATATACACCTGAACATCAGCAGGAGAGGACTCTTTAAAGTAGAGACACTACATACTGATATACACCTGAACATCAGCAAGAGAGGACTCTTTAAAGTAGAGACACTACATACTGATATACACCTGAACATCAGCAGGAGAGGACTCTTTAAAGTAGAGACACTACATACTGATATACACCTGAACATCAGCAGGAGAGGACTCTTTAAAGTAGAGACACTACATACTGATATACACCTGAACATCAGCAGGAGAGGACTCTTTAAAGTAGAGACACTACATTCTGATATACACCTGAACACCAGCAGGAGAGGACTCTTTAAAGTAGAGACACTACATACTGATATACACCTGAACATCTGCAGGAGAGGACTCTTTAAAGTAGAGACACTACATACTGATATACACCATGAAAAAGCATGGTCAGGTTAATCAGGACGGATGCAGACTTCCTGTTTGGGGGTTCATTAACTCCCACTCCCCACTAGTCGGTTAAAGAAGGCACTTAATGCATGAAACGAGCAAACGTAGTGGAAGCTGGGATTGTTTTGGCATTTGGCTTCAGTCCGTCTCCCCTAACCTTCCACCAGCTCACACTACATTTTCCCACGTATCCTTTCAACTTCACAGGGACCTCGTGCCTCCTCACAGAAAAGTGAGAAAGGAAGGAAGAGACGGAGGAGGGCAGCAGTGTCTCTCACTTCCTGTTGTTGCAGCCATCAAAGAGAGGAACCACCAGAGAGAGAGAGAGATACCATTATTATTATTAACTCTGTGGCACATCATCACCCGACATGTTTTCACTGAGCTGCTGATCCTGGAGGATTTTCACTTCTGTTATCAGTTTGGGGAATGATCACCAGATGCTGCTGGGTATATGACTCACTGAGAAGGGGCTCTATTATGCTTTTTGTGGGTTGTGCCTTTCCTGTGGTGATATATAGGTTTGTGTGCATGTAAATGGTCTGCAAAGACTAAAATCCCTTCTATTCTTCTATTGGCTAGCGCTCCAACACATGGTAGGCCTATGTGCTAAGGGGCGGGACATCTTTAAGAGATTAACCAATCACAGCTTCACTGAGCTGCTGATTCAGGAGGATTTCCACTGCTGTTGTTTGGGAACTATGACTGAACTCTACTATGTTGGATACTCCTTAAGGGGCCACTGTGACGTTACTTCCACGTTATAAAAAGTCACCAGCGTAGAAGTTTTTTTTTTTTTAAATCAGATTAGATGTACTTTATAAATCCTTAATTGGGAAATTGAAAAAGGAAAAACACAGAATAAGTTAGAATACACTGAAAAAAAACAAGTTACTACTAAAATAAAATATGTAAACATAGGATACTAAAATACATACTTTATGCACGTGTCCAAGTTGCAGTTTTTTTTAGCACTAATGCTACTTTAGCAACACCCAAAGGTCATGCATCTCTAGTAGGGCTGTGCAATTAATCGTATTTTAATCTCGATTACGATTTTGGCTTGCAACGATTACGAAAACAATGTAATCGAAATAAAACGATTATTATTTTTATTAAAAAAAAAAAAAAAAATTTAATTTTAAAAATTTTTTTATTGGTTTTTCAGTTGAATTATACTTAAAGTTCAGGGTAATCAACTGTTAAAAACATACTGTTCAAATTTTTTTTTCAATATATGGATGTTTTCAAAGTAAATGGATAATCGTTTTTAATAATCGTGATATCAATTATTGACCAAAATAATCGTGATTATGATTTTTGCCATAATCGCACAGCCCTAATCTCTAGAGTCTCTCTGAGCTCTAGCTCCGAAGGGTCGATTGATATGAAGTGTTCATTTGACTTTTAAAACTTGCTGGGAGGATTCTTTCCATAAGAATGTGTCCAGATGCACGTTCACACCCGAGTTTATCCTAATCCAGATAATCCACACCGTGCTATGGCCTGTTCTTTAGAAACAATAACTCTACTGGTTTCACTTCATCTCGAAGAAGAAGAAGAAGAAGAAGAAGAAATTATGTCGAATCTGCAATTTACTGGCAATTTTACTTCCCATGATTCATTGCATTCTTTTCAGTTCCCATGATTCATAGCATTCCTCAGGGCAGGGTGTGGGGCCGAAGTAGTGGAAGTTGGAACACACACTCAAAACACACACACGAGCTTCAGCAACAATTAGTCTGCAGCTTGTGTCGGACGTAAACTGATTGAAGGTCAGTTCTGCTTGGCTCGTTTGCTGCCAAAACACACGACTGTTTGTACCTGATACGTATGCAAACACACACAACCAAACACACACAACCAAACACACACATTTTTTTCCTTCCAGGAAACCAAAGAATTGACATTGTGTTTCTAAGCCTCGATGCAGAGATATGAGGCTTCTTAGAGATCAATAAGTTCACATTAAACTCTGATAATAGTGTTTTTAGAAATAAAATCTCTAACAATGATGCTGCTATTTTTTCATTTAGCATGTGTTTTTGCTTTGTTAAAAAAGCGGGTTTTTTCTACACAGTTAGAGATAAGATTAGAGTAAGCTTATTCAATCATTACAGTATCATACTAAATGCAGAATTGGATTCTAGTGTTGGCTGCGTAGGATTGTTTCTGACTCGTCTGATCCAAAAACGTCTAATAACTCCAGCGCATTGTAACGTTTAAAAGTCAAAATGCATGAAGAAGATGGATGACTACATTTTTGAATATTTGATGGCATTTATCCTTTATAAAACAACACTTAAACTGCAGTTAAAAAACTGTTTGTTTTATGCTTTCTGCAAATGCGGCTGTATTTAAGGTGAAGGTCAAACGGCACCATTAATAAAATCATTTTGAAGCCCCTCAACTCACCAACTTTTTTCAACAGTTAAAGGTAGGGTAGGTAAGAATGGAGAAAGCAGCTCGAATGTGCTAGAATTTGAAAATACACAACTGAAAGAAATCTGCCCCTTCCTTCAGACTTCCTTACAGAGCCCCTCCTCCAACACACACGAACGTGCACATGACCAATGAGGGCACGAGATAAGTTTGTGCACAGATGGAAGGCTGACAGGCAGGTAGGCCATCCAGTTATTTTAGCCGGGCCGGCTCAGATGATTGGTCGTGCTTTTTACAGCGCCACGGCTTCCACAGATTAAATATTTGTAATGTATTTATTGTCAAAGCACTTCAGATATTCATTGCTATCAGGATGTTAAGAGCATTAGGTCGAGGACACTGATTAAAAGTTTCTAAAGTCTTCTCAGATGTCAAATCTTTAACGTTAGCTTTTTTCTTTTAGCTTGTTTATTTACAGGTTTAAAAGGCATTTTTAATACAGAGTTGCAGATTGAGATTAGGCGGTATTTATAGTGCGGTCAACCAAAAAAAAGCAACTCTCCCATTTGCTGCAATTGCACCTGTTTCTACAGAGCGAGCCACAGCACCAAAACAAATCTTTCCAGAACCCTCAAAACCTAAATACACCAACTTTACGGAAGAGAAAGCTTTGCAATTCTCATTACAGCAGTGTTGCCTTAATCTGCCTCTTTACGGGCCGACGTGACTCAGGGCAGTGAATCTGTGCAGGTCACAGCTCGTCTCTGCTGTCAGAGATTCAGCTGAAAACTCACTGAAACCCGACACCTAAAGACTGACTGACATTGCACTGAATCCTGACGCCATGAACACGCTCACCTGTACTCCTGCAGCCTGTCTTTATGTCATTGGTTAGCAGCAGCTTCAGGTGACAGTGCATGACCACTACCACTTATTTGTATTGATTGCAAAGCACGACATTTGTAAAGATGAGGTTTTTTTATTTGAAGTCTGGCTGGACGTTTTGCATGTGGCACAGTCATGCCAAACTCCACTTAGAAATCTGGCTATTTAAGGCCTGCTTACTATGTGGCAATTTACCTTTACATGTAACCCTAAGCATGAACTAAGGTCTGTGGTTAACACAAGCTAAATGAGAAGACTAAACATCACCACAACAAACATTAGCCTCCTTTAGCTTAGCGGTGGTGACGTGAAGTCATGTGACCGTGCTGTAGTTCCTTTATAGCCCAACTTTATCCCCCTTTAGCTTAGCGGTGGTGACGTGAAGTCATGTGACCGTGCTGTAGTTCCTTTATAGCCCAACATTAGCCACCTTTAGCTTAGCGGTGGTGACGTGAAGTCATGTGACCATGCTGTAGTTCCTTTATAGCCCAACATTAGCCACCTTTAGCTTAGCGGTGGTGACGTGAAGTCATGTGACCGTGCTGTAGTTCCTTTATAGCCCAACATTAGCCACCTTTAGCTTAGCGGTGGTGACTTGAAGTCATGTGACCGTGCTGTAGTTCCTTTATAGCCCAACATTAGCCACCTTTAGCTTAGCGGTGGTGACGTGAAGTCATGTGACCGTGCTGTAGTTCCTTTATAGCCCAACATTAGCCACCTTTAGCTTAGCGGTGGTGACTTGAAGTCATGTGACCGTGCTGTAGTTCCTTTATAGCCCAACATTAGCCTCCTTTAGCTTAGCGGTGGTGACGTGAAGTCATGTGACCGTGCTGTAGTTCCTTTATAGCCCAACATTAGCCTCCTTTAGCTTAGCGGTGGTGACGTGAAGTCATGTGACCGTGCTGTAGTTCCTTTATAGCCCAACATTAGCCACCTTTAGCTTAGCGGTGGTGACGTGAAGTCATGTGACCGTGCTGTAGTTCCTTTATAGCCCAACATTATCCCCCTTTAGCTTAGCCATGGTGATGTCAAGTCATGTGACCGTGCTGTAGTTCCTTTATAGCCCAACATTAGCCGCCTTTAGCTTAGCGGTGGTGATGTCAAGTCATGTGACGTGCTGTAGTTTTTTTATATACCATATTGTACTTTTGATATTGTATTAACACTTCAAAAATCATTAAGTGGTGTTAATATATAGAGATTATCCTGCTGAACAAAACGTGTAGGTATCATAAACGTGTGTGTATCGTCTGCAATAATCGGAAATCCAATGGAAAAATCCCATTGTTTATAATTGAATGAGCCCTACAAAATACATCATCACTTCACTACTCTATAGGACTAATGTTAGCATCCAGCACACATACAACAGCGAACAGGACACATCTACATTTCCTGCTCATCAGCTGAAGCCTCGCTCAGACTGACCTTCAGTTTAACTTCATTATTCAGCCATCAGCTCCAAAACAGGATGTGATGTCACCGGCCTGATCAAGGTAATGAGGAAATATTGAGCCGAGCATTCATTAACAGATCTGTGAGAGGAGTGGAGTAGTGTAGAGTGTAGTCCAGTAGTGAACAACACAAGGGAGATGAAACGCAACTAGAGTTATAATGTAGTTGCTGTTTGTAATAGCTGCAAGTTCATGCCTTAATGTATTAACGAATGATTTAGTGTGCGTGGGATTAGTCTGCATTACTGTGTGTGTGTGTGTGTGTGTGTGTGTGTGTGTGTGTGTGTGTGTGTGTGCAGCTGTAACAGTGAGGGGCAGCAGTGTGTTGATCAGCTCTTTAACTCGTGACGTACCACCCTCCAGGCAGAGGATTAAAACAAAATAAATTAATGAGTTCAGGCGACCTTAAAGGAGCTTCTATACAAGCATGTTTTTTTGGTCCTGAATCACGTGTAAGTTCATGTTTATCTAGAGGCCATAGGATCTTAAGTGTCACAGTTGAGAACTATTGGTAATCCAAGCTGATGTTATCTTTCCTGTAGTGTGTTATATAAAAGGTTTTTGTGCATGTAAATTGTCTGCAAAGGCTAAAAACCCAAAGGTCCCCTGCCCCCCCACTCCGGTTTTAATACATAACTTGATCACTCATTGTTACCCAGATGACTTATTTCCGCATAATAATGGTGAAAAATACATGACCTTGGTGAGTGTGACATTTACTCATCTCTGTGTCAGAAGATTAATAAAAAATAAACCCTTTAAGAACTTTAAAACAATACTTCATTTGAAAATGAGACAATAGTTCACTGTCCTGCATCAGTCCTCTTGTCTTCTAATGTGATTCAACGACATCAAAAAAGCCGGATATATCACAAATGCTTGTTGGAGAGGAATAAAAGGCCAAGCCGGGTAAATACGAAGTACAATGGTGGATCCATTACACAGATCTAACAATCCAAATAAACACACATAAAGGAAATATTATGAAGCTCTCAATGAACACTTTCATCCCACAGACCCACACATCTGAAGGGCTGTTATGATTGATAGTACTACAGTTCCCATGAACCTCAGCTGGTGCTCAGGCTGTCACAATGCTCTTAAAAAGTTCCACAATAAAGTTAGATTAGCAAAATTAGGCCCTATTTGTCAGATTAAACAAGGGGACAATAACACACATTTACTTAAAATGTGCACAATAAACCTCGAACTCAATGTTTGTATCAGCTTACCAAGGTTAAATAATGTCAAATGGATGAATCAAGCCGACCTCCATTGGAAAAGTATCCTATTTTGGACTATTGCTATTTTTGCAGAAATGTAGACAATGTAGAAAAAGATGGAAGACATATTCTACCCTTTAAAGTTACAGTATCCACTTCGGCATTAACGTTATTAACCTAAGATTACATATTTTAATGATATATCAACTGTTTATGTTGCTTTCATTGCCGCCTTTACCAGAATGCACCGAGAAGGAGAGGGGAAAGTTGAAATACGCAACACAAAACTGTTGCTTTTCCTAGAAAAACTAATCGGATTTAGCTTAAGACAAGTATGCCGAATTCACCATAAAACACCTTACATGTGTTTGACATCTTAAAGTATGTGCTGCCTCTTATAAATCCCAATTTATTATGAAGAAAGCCTTTAATTGGCAGATTTCCACATTAGGTTCGGCATTGAGTTTCACCAACGACCGTTTTGGTGGTGTTTCCTGATCCAACACCTGATAAAGGTGGTTTTGACACATGCCGTTAAACTCTCTGGCCCACAGCCAACCTTTTGCATGAGGCAAACTGATAAAAAAATATTATAACCCATAAGTGGAGGTGAGTTGTACCTGATGAAGGTGGTTTTCCCGGTGGAGTACTGGCCCACCAGAAGCACCATGGGTTTGCTCTGGAAGTCGGCGGCCTCCAGAGCCGGGGAGTGGAAGTCATGGAAGAGGTAAGTCTCCTCCAGAGGAAGCAGCTTCTTCAGGTAGAGGCTCTGCAGACCCTCGGTCACCGTCTGGTACATCTCTCCGTCCTTGTTGCGTCCACCTTGCTCCTGCTTCACCCAGCTGAACATGCTGCGGAATCACTTTTCTCACCAATCCAACTTCCTTGTTTCGATATTTCCCAATTTTCCGGCTGTTTTTCCGGCTCCTTTTCGCTCAGTTCCTCCTCCAGACTGAGCGACGGAGGGTGTGTGTGTGTGTGTGTGTGTGTGTGTGTGTGTGTGTGTGTGTGTGTGTGTGTGTGTGTGTTTGGCACCTTGGAGTCTCCACTGCTGCTGCGGACACACTGCCTCCTCTGTCAATGAGTGTGTGTGTTTGTGGTGATGTGACCGCTGCTGGTGCTTCTACCTACCTGGGGGGCACCGCCCTTCCCCCTGTGACGCAGCATACACACACACACACACACACACACACACACACACACACACACACACACACACACACACACACGCCACACACACGCACACGCACGCACACGCACACGCACGCACACACACACACACACACACACACACACACTCATGTGTTTATTGTAATAGAAACAGACACGGCAATTGAACTCTTCAGTCTCTCTTTGTTTCCTGAATATGTACCGGTTGTATATTGTTCTAGATAATGGATATAGTTCAATGAACATTTGCTTTTGTTTTTATATACTTGAATAATATGCAGTAACTAATTAAAAAAAATACCGAAGTACTGATGCTTTATAGATATTTTTATATATTTAATTATGAAAAACTCGTCGATTGTATTGTGAATTGTGACAACCAAAGGGTCTCAACACTTCAAGTGAAGTTATTATGTTTTGCTTATTACTTAATAAGAATGTATAATTGCTTATAAAACATCAGTGATTGAGAAACATCCCTAGAGATTAATAAAGCTTTGTATTTTTTATTTCTCATGTATAAAGCCATCTGCTACAATTTACAAACCATTTGAGAATGGCAACCAATCAGAAAGTGGCATTAAAATAATTTTAGTGGATTTGTGTAATCAGGAAATCTGTGTTTCGCTTTAAAGTGGTTTTCATTCTTACATAAAGTTTGTGTAGCTCATAGACTGAAGTAGCTGCAGGTCATTCAGAGCTCATCATCATGTCTCTGTGTCCTGTAGCGCCCCCTGCTGGATCAGGCTTGACAATACACCATTCACATTATATTATAAACTCCCTTTATTAAGTTCACAAAAATATTGTATTTAAGACATCCTTGATATTTGGCTAAATAAACATTGATACATGTTGCTTTCCTAAAATACAGAACTACCGGCTTGATAAAAACTCGGACAAATGTGCTGTAAATTAATTATTTATTATCTGTTGGTAAGTTAGTACAGTCTAAAGTGTAAAGTTCAATACAATATTCTCCTTTTTCGTTAAGAGCAACACTTCACCCCACTATAACCAGGAAAACTAAAAAGCAAGGTTAGAAATGATAAAAATACTCCAAATTAAGAAATAATACATCTAAATCTAAACTCTATAAATCGAAATGATGAGATCCTGAATGTGTTTATTTTTATAACAAACTTCCACTAACAACATATATGACAGATGAAAGGTTGTTAATCCTATTTCATATAATATCCTCTGGTAGTTTTTACTATAAAAGCTTGTTTAATTGATATTTGACTTGATATATATATGGACAAAATAAGTCAACAAACAGGAAACAGGAGTTTTATCCTCTGACTGCTTCGATTTTTTTGCTTTCAGGTCTCCATTTGCTTTTGTAATCTGCAGTTTGGACACTAGGTGGCGCTGCTGCCCTGTCTAATAGTTAGAGCTTCAATTATCTGAACAGACATCACAGGACAAGCTGTAAAAATAACTATTTTTTATTAAAAGACACAGCAAACAGGTAATAAATACAGAAAAAGGACAGAATCAGCATTTCACATCCCAATGACAGACAGTTTCATTTACACAGAGACAGAAAATCCATATTTTATTTATTTGAATGTTAATGTTTGATGCCCAACTCCTCTGACAATCATCATGTTGGCAAATAAAATCGGATGACACAAAACCAAAGAACCATACAGGTCATTTTAACCCAGAATGCATCCGTTTTGAGGTTCACATTACATATTACTTGTTAGTCGCTTTTATCCAGAGCGACTAACATACTCAATACTGTGGGCAATCCCCACAGGAGCACTTTGGGGTGAAGTGTCTCAGGGACACAACGACATGCTGACTGCAGTGGGGTTTGAACCTGTGCGCCCCTGATCCAAACACCAACGCACTAGCCCACTGCGCCACACGCCTCCACACAAAAGACGTAGTTTATTCAGAACATTTGAACTTTTTAATCCATTCTAAAAAGCATTGTATTTCAATATAGTTACACATTTGGTTTTTGCATTTCCGTCAATCAATTTTCTTATTGTTTGTAATATTGTGTTTGAATTAAAGCGATTTCTTGTTGTGGAACTGAACTTTTAAAAGCCAGTTTTTCTGCTGAAACGTTGCTGTAACTCTGTCCTTGGAAAAAAAGGGAAATAATAATACAAATTCAAGTTTAACAAAATACAGAAATTGACATGTGGGCGAAATGTACATCATGATAATTACAAAACAGGCAATGATGAAGCTTAAAAGATATAACAAAAGAGAGAAAGAAGAAACATCCGGGTACTTTTGTTTATTTTGCAGATTGTTTTGAAATGGTATATAAGAGAAAGCTTAACATAATCTGTTAAATAACAACATTACCTATAGGTTTACTGAGCACCTTTGAATTCTTTTTGATAAAACCTCAATCATGATCAACAGACACATTTTAGATAAACATTATAAGTCTGAAATCATTCACTTGGTCACTACTCATTCATGAAGCTGGCTGATGTTGACAAAAAAGTTCTTTTTTTTAGATATTAACATGTATAAAATTCACCTGAAACATAAGATAACTCGCTCTTGGATTCAAGATTCATAATTGTATATAGTATAAAAAATCTATTTTATTTAACGATTGAACAATGCAGGAAAATGGTGGTTCCTTTTTTTGTTTTTATTGTAATAAAATGTATAGAGAATCAAAAACACCTGACTGTTTAGTGAAAGGTGAATGATTTTGGTTACTACAGATGATGAGATTGTTTTATGATTTGGTGATTTCCCAAAATCTCCTTCATTGAATAAAACATTTTTGGATATATCAACGTGTGCTTTTCTATGTTGTGTGTATTTTATATACATGTGTATTTATCAGTAATAGTTAGTATATGTGAGCAGTATATATATACAGTGTTGTGTGTCTATTCTTGTACGTCTACCTTGTGAGGACCGTATATTTTTACCTGCAAAGTGGGGTCTTTTTGAAAACTGAGGAATTTTGACTTGTTTTCACTCCTAACATGTATGTTTGAGACATAAACTGTATTTATGTTTGAGACATAAACTGTATTTATGTTTGAGACATAAACTGTATTTATGTTTGAGACATTAACTGTGTTTTTACCTCAACGCTCGTCCATTGGGTGAAGCAAATCTGCGTAGTGGCCAAACGGTGGTACTACAACATCTGTATCGGTCTGTTATGTCATTGGACCTAAAAAGGCTTTCTTTTTGCTGAAATCTACAACTGAAATGTTGTCAGATAGATGCAATTTGTATGTTTATTGGGTTAACTAGTATTTTGTGATAATGTGTTCCTTCAAACGATAACATGAATGCTAGCTAGGTATTAGCTGGACAAAATCCTCCGTTTACAAGTTTAAGGTTCAGATTTATTTTAGGGTAGGTTAATTTATGTTTGTGATCACAAGTATAGAAGTACAAACGTGTGTGTGTGTGTGTGTGTGTGTGTGTGTGTGTGTGTGTGTGTGTGTGTGTGTGTGTGTGTGTGTGTGTGTGTGGGTGTGGGTTTGTGTGTGTGTGTTAGTGTGTGTGTTTTCTTAGTTATTCTCCGTAAAGTCCCGGCAGATGCCTCGGACCAGCAGAGGAATGAACTCGGCCAGGCCGGTGAACTCTCGGGTGAAAAAGGTGTGGCTGTCCTTCGGCTCGGACGACATCGATTTGAGGTCATCAAGAGGCGCCCAGGCCACGCCCACTGAGTACATGGTAATGCCTGATTGGTGGGTAGGATAAAGAGGATATTTTAATAAGGACTAAACACAAACTGCTGTTGTCTTTCCTCTTTAAGAACACACAGTTATAAATACATAACATTTATACAGTTTTGTACATTTCAAGTTTTTAGACTGTAAGTGTAAATATGCACATTGACATTGAATTGTATCTCTGTCATCGCTACTACCTCTGCTTTTACCACTCTTATTTATTTATTTGAGATATTATATTATATTATATTCTATTCTACTTAAACTATAGCTCCGGCTACTTGTCAACTGTACAGATGTTGTTGATGACGGAAAATGCTAAATATGTGATTGCAAGAAGTAGGATGGCTATTACCAGTCGAAGCATAGATGAGATTAATCAACTAATCAAAAAAAGAATTGCTACACACCTTGTTTCTGTGCCGCAATCGCCGGGAGCCTGACGTCATCATACGATTGGCCGTCTGTCACCACGATGAGGAAGTTGCGGCCTGGTCCCATCCGCCTGAAACAACAAATTTAGTTAAAGTTATTATTCAGGCAGTTTCCTTCTCTAGATATAATGAATTCTGCAATGAGAAGCAATGTTAAAAATCTTAACAAAACACTGTTATTAGGTCATATTTCGCACACTAGTGTTTCTACTACAGCAGCATAGCACTAGCGCAGTGTTTCTCAAACTTTTTCATACCAACGACCACTTAACCAATCAAAAAACACACAAGGACCACCTAACTCCCCAAATATCTAAAAACAATAGGCCTGCTTACCACTCCAACAGTATATAACAAATCACAGCATAATAATGACAGCTTAACCTATTGCTCTCAGGTTTTACACCTCATATGAAATGTAGACTACATTTCTTACAGAGTTTATGTCCGAGCCAACAGACTCACAGATCGTTGGCTACTGAGAGAAATGCAAAATGTAGTACGACACAAACCTCCGCTGTGGATTTTCTAAATAAAATACAGTAAAACTATGGTTGCAGGCCCAAGTTAAACACATTAAACACAAGTTCATTATTTACACTGTTCCATTTATTTAGCATTGTTTACGCACTCAGTCTCTGTTGCCACCTATACTAATCATTTTTAAACAAATTGAGAAACACTTTGGATTTATAATAAATGTATTTCAAATGTGAAATTGTACCAATTTACCATTTACTCACGGACCACTAGGGGTCACTCACGGACCACACTTTGAGAAACACTGCACTAGCGGGATGGAT